TACTGTATATTATTATCGTGGTGTACACTAAAATAATATACAAGATTTTCAAGAAGAAAAATTCGATACGTATCGATACGAAATAGTTACGTATCACCTCGTATCGGAGTCCGAGTCCGATACGGCGATACGGGTCGGTACGTATCGCTTGTATATTGCAAAGTGTAACATCTTGAACGCTCAAAATTGACCCGATACGTACCGATGTCCGATACACTCCAAATTCTTTCTTGAAAATCTTGATACTTTCTATAATATTTATTATTATTTAATAACCATTAAATTGAACTATTTCCCAGAACACTACTGTAGCTGATTACGCGGATGACAAAGCCATCATATCAATTGACAAAAACCCTATTACGGCCTCGCAAATCTTCAAACTCATCTCAACCTAATCCCATTAAGTCAGTACATACAACATTCACTCTATGCCACTCCATTTGTCCTAATGTCTATTTAAATAACATACTTATTCCCACAGCTGACTCAGTTAGATATCTTGGACTTAACTTGGATAAGCGCCTCACTTGGAATAGCCATATACGTATAAAAAGACTTGCCTTAAACGCCCGTCTTCGCAGACTACGAACGCTACTCACAAATAACAAACACTCCAGTTTAAAATTAAAGTTCTTATGTATAAAACATTACTCAAACCTCTATGGGCATATGGTCTACAACTATGGGGTACAGCAAAAGCGTCCAATACAAACAAAATTCAGCAATTTCAGAATATAGGTCTCCGGAAAATTACTAATGCTCTACCCTTTGTTTCGAATTACACTATACATAATGACCTGTCAATTAAAACTGTGACGGAAGAAGCTATACGTTTCAACAAAACCTTTCATGCCCGGCTGCAAACACACCAAAACCCACTCATTAAAAACCTATCCATCCAAACATTACCTAGCAATCCTAGGCGTCGATTAAAAAGGAGCTGGTACCGTGACTTGCTAGGGAACTAATATCAAAAAAAACAAAAAATCAGTATATATAAATATAGCTAGTTTCATACAACTTCCAGTCAAGTGCCATTAGTGAGTGGCTTCTTACTCGTGTATTATTGTAACCATTATCAAATATGCTAATAGTACATAATTGTACAGATTGTATATATTATTGTGTAAAATAAAAAAAAAATAAAAAAATTGAACTAAAAAATGTTTAGTTTTTTTCATCCAAAATTATTGGTATAAAGTATAAAAATAGAATCTGAAATTGTTTATTATGTTCTTTATATATTTTCTAAAACACAAATACAAAATACAGTATTAATTGATAAAGTACCTACACACAATATTAGTAACAAAGTAGGACACATAATTAGCGTTTAAATCATATTTATAATAACGGGAGATTGTAAATTCCGCCCGAAATGAACAGGTAAAAACAAGGTCTATGGTAAATTCCGCCCGGAAAAATATCCAGGTAAAAAAAGGTACATGTAAATTCCGCCCGAAAAAATATACAGGTACAAAAATAGTTCCGCCCGGAAAAATAAATACTTTTAAACTAAGCGTTCCGTGACTGTACGACGCGACCGTACTTTTCGCGACGCGACGCGTGTTATAACTTATAGTATTGGGAAGTCACAAAATGTTCGAACACGGAACAATCGTATCTCAAACGATAATCGTCAATCATGTCACATCTTATCAGCTTTGACTGCAATATTGTGGATCCAATAATTATTGGAAATTTCAGATAGAAATATTACAAATTGTGTTCAGTACACGTCCTAGAGTCTTATACGCTTATACCTAGTACCTACGCTATAATGGCTCAATTTATCGAATCAGAACGTGGAAATATACTTTTAGTATTAGACAATTTTAAATTTTCTAAAGTCAATAGACCTTTGGCTTCTGGATTAACAAAATGGCGATGTATAATCAAAACTTGCAAAGCTTTTGTGAAAACCTTTGGTGAAACTACGAACATCGCTGAACAAAATATTGATCATGATAAACATAGTGCAAATAGGCAAGTACAATATTATACATAATATTATACAACTTAATTAAATAATATTTTTTTAAATTATTTTTTTAAAACCTGAAATTATAATTGTGTTTTTAGTGATCAAAATATACAACGGCAAATTGTGTCAGTATCGGCAAAACGTAAAGCTGTTGAAGATAGTAATGAGAAACCTAGTAAAATAGTGTGTACTGTTATTAAAAGCATTCCTCGATCTGAAGCGTTGCAAGTAAGTGACTTGCATAATATCAAGCGAAATCTTTACAATGCAAAGCGAAAGAAATTCCCTCCTTTGCCAAAATCTGGGGAAGAAGTTCAAAATATGCTGGATGATATACAGGTGGTAACAAATCGAGACGAAAATTTTATTCTTAGTAATGACAAAGTAAATGGTATTATAATTTTTGGGTGCAAAACAAATCTAAAAATGTTATCAACAGCAGAATGGGTTTACATGGATGGTACATTTGAATATAGTTCTAAATTTTTTTTGCAACTATTTACTATACATGGTTATTTTAATGGTCATTATATACCTTTAGTTTTTTGTTTATTAAAAGCAAAAACTCAAAATATTTATTTGCAATGTTTTAAATTAATAGTTAATCTTTGTATTCATGATAATTACTTATTTGAGCCAAAGTATGTTGTTATTGACTTCGAAAAAGCCATACACAACGCATGTAAATCCATCTGGCCAAGTATTCAAATTTATGGTTGTCGTTTTCATTTATTACAATCGTGGTATAGGTATGTTCAAACAATAGGATTAAGTGTAGAATATAAAACCGAAGACTCGACTATTAGAAATTGGATAATTAAATGTTTTGGATTAGTTTTTTTAGAGCCCGAGATGGTTTTTGATTACTTTGAAGTATTTTTAATGAGTTCTAAGCCAAATGATCATAGATTAGCACAATTTTCTGATTATTTATTAAATAATTATATAAGTAATGACGCTGCTTTTCCTCCAAATATATGGGCTGCTGCTACAGCAGATTTGAACAGAACGACAAATGCTTGTGAGTCGTTTCATTCCAATTTTAATAAAAGTTTTAATTCTAATCATCCTCATATTTTTATATTTTTAGACAAAATTAAACAAATTCAATTAGAAAACTACATAAAAATAAATAGTATAAATGAACCACATAAATACAGAAATTCAAAATCAAAAAAAAAAAATATATACATGCAAAATGTAATTAGAAAATATAAAAATAATGAAATATCTATAGATGATTATGTAGAAAACGTGGCTCATTATTTTGGGGATTTTAACAAAA